AAAAAAAAAATCAACTAGCCTATTTGAAAAGCTACCTAAAGTAGCTTATGAGATAAGTTCGAACTTTTGAAAAAGTCCGTCCTACCAATAGAGGCTTATTTGAATACAGGAAACTTATAAACTAACCAAATAAGTTATAAAACAAGCTAATTTGACTACCAAACATAGCCTAAGAGTTTCTTGTTATTGGCTTCAACGCTGGGACGCTTTTGTCCTCAACCCATACTAGGCAATTATCAACTCAACGCTTTTTATTCTTTTGTTAACAAATCGGAAGGACAATATCGGGAACAAAATGACAACAATATGCCATTTTGGTAGAGGAAAATCTGGGAATAGAGTATGCAGCTACTTAGGGTCCAGAAAGGATTTATTTTAGGCTTATTAGTAGCATCCATGAACTATTTTTGACCTATTAACATTAACATGTGATGAATGTTTGTTTGACAGAGTCATTGTATATAAATAAGTATCCACTCAATACAAGCACGTCGAGATATACACGTTGTCAATTATTCACTAAACAGTGTCACAAGCTACTACCAATTCAAAACTCAATTCAGTTTCACTTTCCTCCTTGACGAGTTAAAATGATTTTTTCAAAATTATATCAACTACAGAAACTTATCTAATTATAATCTTGAATACTACAGAAACTCACATAGAAACATCATACTACCAAAAAGAAGTAGCCACCACATGATTGGTCTCATGATTTACGTGTTCAATACCAAAGGTTGACACTCAAAAAAAGTGCTACAGAAAAGTAAGAAAACATGCAACATCAAATGATAGTTAAGTCGTACCTCTGCAAAAACAATAACGGCTAGTTCAAATCACACCCAAGATTCAGACCAGTTACAAAAATCCAAATCCGTTTCAAAATTACCAACAGGATGGTTGTATTTTCAAACAAATAACTCGTTAATTCGAAAGAAAAAAATACTCATTTTTTTTTTTCTTTTTCGTAATTAGGCCAACATCAGGGGTGGCTACTCAAAATAACCCCACAAAATAATCAAACCTACAATGCAAGGGCAGACGGAAGTGAAAAAGAGAGATAACAATAAACTCACAGTTAACATCCACGTTGCATTTTCCACTTCACGGGGGTTGGACTTCACATAGCGATGATTAAAAGTACAGCCCGTGTGCATGTCCACTTTGTGGTCGTCTCTCAAATGCTTAACCAGATAAGGAATATCACCCGCCACAGCACATTCCGACCCGGCATACGGGCAGTTGTATGGTCTGAAATCACAAACAGCTTCGTGTTTGAGTTTGCTGTAGTAGGGAAAAATTTTCGAGCATCCCAAGGAATAGTATTTGCATGGCAGCTCAAGTGACTCAGCAACTTTTTCTAGTGCCAAGCACCGAATGTCCCCGAGTTCTTGTCTACAAGTGGGGCACCGGTTGTGGACTCTCGCTTTGCATGTGGAACAGAGTGTGTGCCCGTTGTGACACTGAAAAAAAAAGAAAGAAAAAGACATATAAAGGCAAATATCATTCGATTCTGTTGCGGCTTTACGTGTTCGTTATCATATTTCACAACAGCTGCAAGTGAACTAGACGAGTCCATAAATGAAAAACGGCGGAATTGGATAATCGTGGAGTTCAACAATTTAGAGTCGAAAATGCTTTCAAATGATTGTTTCTTAAATTTCTGCTCGACGATCATTGTGGCAGCCTCTTGTACTGTTTAGAGACAAAACTGGCATTTGAAATCACAATTAATATCATCAACAATAAGTCTGGCATCCAATTCCTAACTTTCCTCACAAGATAAACAGATAATACAATCTCAAACCAAAACATAATGCATCACTACAAAATGCTGAAAACAAAAACACAAGCACTGACTAGCAAGCTAACAGGCAGACCTGATGAATCGGTGGGTACATAGAACTAGTGCAAACAGGGCATTCCAGCAATTCATGGACACTTGTAGGGGCAATTCTGGAAACCCCACCATGAGGCTTTGAAGAAGAATACTGATGAGGATCATTCGCACGAACTGATGATCGGATCTCTTCATCTTCAATCTCATCCGACGACGAAACACACTCCACATTTTCCATTTCCATTGCAGCCATTTTTTTTTTTTTTCCCCAAAAATTATCAGATGCCCACTTCTAAAGAACCCATCTTTTCTCAAGAAAAAATGGATGCTGATGTAGAGCGTAGTACGATTGGGAAAAAGAGTAATAATAATAACAAGAAATAAATAGACTAAACCCGGAGTCGGTCATATTTATTCAGAAACGCAATGGCGGTCTCGTCTTCATCAGAAGCTGATACGCCCTCTTCCGAAAATTGAATCTTCGGTAGATATATGTCTGAATTTCAAGCTTTTCAATGAACTTCTGCAGATAATCTCAAGAGCCCAACTCTTCCAATGGCGAAAAACGGCTCAATTCTCCTCTTTTGATTTTTAATTTTATCCTTTTCCTCTCCCGTTTACTATTTTTCTATCTTTTTAACGGAGAAAAGATTCAGAATAAAGAAACTGAAAAGAATCGAATGGAAATGAGTGAGAGAAGGAGAGGCCGATTCGAAAAAATAAACCCCAACAAAAGATTGTCTGCTGCTGGAAAGGTGGTTCGCTTTCTCTCTCTAGATTGCTAGAGGAGAGTGAAATGAGGATCGCCGTTCATGTTTTTCATGATGGATGTGGGGATGTTAATCAACGGTTGTGAAAGAAGCACTTTTCTTTCTTATCCTCTCTATATATATAATTTTCGAATGCGCGTGGTTGCTTCTGGTGCTTTAGACTACGAATAACAGCAACTTTCCAAACACCCAACCATTCAACCACCCTAATATTTAATTACTTTCTCTCTCTTCCACATCATCAATAATCATCCCAACCACACCATCTCAATTTTGCAAGTTTATTAGCAACCACACCAACATCCAACCACAACCTTTTTTTTCTTAATTTGATTTTATTTAATTATTATATTTTTATTTCATTTTATTTTAATTATTAATTAATTCTTTTATTTGCTTTGATTTATATTTTATTATATAAAACATACAAATTTAAAAACTATATATTTATGTCAATTTAAAAATAAAAAATAAGTATAGCAAAATTGATCTCTATTTGTAGAGAATTAAAAATTATGAATTTTGGTATATTTATTTATTTTTTTTATTTGATTATATAAATAATATATTAGTTTAAAAATTATAAATAAAAAAAAAGATGAACCAATGGGATGGAGACAAGTGTCTCCATTCCATTGGTTACATTATTAAAGACCAACTCAACCAAGATGGTTGGCTATCCCCCAAAACACACCAC